ACTGACTATATTATGTCCACACAAAAATTATTCAGTACAAAACAAAAAATTATGATTTGATCTTAAATAAAATTGAATTATTAAACACACATGTGAGGAAAGTATGCTTGAAGACCATAAAGACCAATGGATACTTTGAAAATATATTTTGACTTATATTTACTTCTTTGGATCACAATTACCTATAATTTCTTTTGTTTAATGTTGTCTCCAGTCTTACATTCCTTGTTCACTTTGCATATTAAATATTTTAATATGGGGTTATGAATGGTAATGTTTTGACCATCTATCAGTACAAAAAGAATCTTAACATCATGTTGGAGTCATAACTTGGGTAGAGCTGAGTATCAAGTTTTTCTTCAAGATGTCTTCTTTATCTAATTTTTAAGGTAATTCTGAATTGCCTTCTAGTAACATTAAATTCCTAATGATGTTAATATGACTCATTTTCTTACAGCTCTCTCTCTCTCTCTCTCTCTCTCTCTCTATATATATATATATATATATATATATATAATATATACACATATTTTATTTTGAATTATTTAGTATTTTCTTTTGAATTAATAATAAATTATTTATGTTTCAAGGAAATCTGAGACAGCTCCACTGGAGTGATAGAGGTTTGCTGTGTCCCCGCCCAAATCTCATCCTGAGAGATTCCCATAATCCCCATGTGTTGTAGGAGGAACCAGGTGGAGATGACTGAATCATGGGGGCAGTTTCTCCCATACTGTTCTCCTGATAGTGAGTTCTCATAAGATCTCATGATTTTATAAGGAATTTCCCCCCATCCTCACTTGGCACTTCTCCTTGCTGTCACCATATAAAGAAGGACATGTTTGTTTCTTCTGCCATGATTGTAAGCTTACTGAGGCCTCCATAGCCCTATGGAACTGTAAGTCAATTAAACCTCTGTAAGTCAATTAAATAGTTAAACTGTAAGTCATTTAAACCTTTTCCTTTATAAATTACCCAGTTTCAGGTTTGTTGTTATAGCAGAGTGAGAATGGACTAATACAGTATACTGGTAGTGGGGTGCTGCTGTAAAGATACCCAAAAACCTAGAAGGGGCCAACATACAGCTCAGATCACTGCCTCAGAGAATGGCAGCCTCAAGCCTTAGCAGATTCCACATGTTGTTGGGCCTGCAGGGGCACAGAAGACAAGAATTGAGGCTTTGAAACCTCTGCCCAGATTTCAGAGGATCTGTGAAAATGCCTGGATGTCCAGGCAGAGGATGTGCTGCAGGGTCAGATCCCTCATGGAGTACCTCTGCTAAGGCAGTGTGGAAGGGAAATGTGGGATTGGAGCCCCCACACAGAGTCCCCACTGGGACACTGCCTAGTGGAGCTATGAGAAGGGAGCCATCATCCTCTAGCCCTCGGAATGGTAGATCCACCACCACCTTGCACCATGCACCTAGAAAACCCACAGACACTCAACGCCAGCCTGTAGAGGCAGCCAGGAGTGGGGCTGTACCCAGCAAAGCCACACAGAGGCAGAGCTGCCCAAGGTTGTGGGAGCCACCTCTTGCATCAATGTACCCTGGATGTGATACATGGAGTCACAGGAGATCATTTGGTAACTTTGAGGTTTAATGACTGCCCCACTGGATTTCAGACATGGACGGGGCCTGTAGGCCCTTTGTTTTGGCCAATTTCTCCCATTTGGAATGAGTGTATTTACCCAATGCCTTACCCGCATTGTATCTAGGAAGTAACTAACTTGCTTTTGATTATACAGGCTCATAGGCAGAAGGGACTTGCCCTGTCTCAGATGAGACTTTGGACATGAACTTTTGAGTTAATGCTAGAATGACTTAACACTTTGGGGGACTGTTTTTGTTTTGAATGGTGAGGGCATGATTTTGTTTTGAATGGTGAAGACACGAGATTTAGGAGGGGTTAGGGGTGAGTTTGGCTGTGTCCTAACTCAAACCTTATCTTGAATTATAGTTCCCATAATCCCCAAGTGTCTTGGGAGGGACCTGGTAGGGATAATTAAATCATGGAGGCAGTTTCCCCTATCCTGTTCTCCTGACAGTGAGTTAGTTCTCATTACATCTAATGCTTTTGTAAGGGGATTTTCCCATTCCTCACTCAGCACTTCTCTCTTGCCTCCTGCCATGTAAGATGTGCTTTTGCTCCTCCTTTGCCTTCTGCCATGACTGTGAAACCTCCTTAACCATGTGGAATTATGAGTCCATCAAATCTCTTCTTCTGGCCAGGCACAGTGGCACATGCCTGTAATCCCAGCACTTTGGGAGGCTGAGGTGGGTGGGAATTTGAGACCAGTCTGGTCAACATGGTGAAACTCCATCTCTACTATAAAAACAGAAAATAAATTTAAAAAAAAATGCAAAAAGAAAAAGGCCAGGCATAGTGGTGAGGATACTCAGAAGGCTGAGGGAGGAGAATATCTTGAACCCTGGAGGTGGAGGTTCCAGTGAGCTGAGATCATGCCACTGCACTCCATCCTGGGTGACAGAGCATGATTCTGTCTCTAAATAAATAAATATAAGTAAACATTTTTTACTTTACAACTTACTCTGTCTTGGGCAGTTCTTCATAGCAGTATGAAATGGACTAATACATGGAGTATTCTAAAATTTTAAACAGTAATTAACACCAGTTCTGCATTTCTTATACAAAAAGAACAGAAATGAAGATTTTATAATTCATTTCATGGGAGTAATATCCTGATATCAAAACCAAACAAACACAATATATAAAAACTAAGCCATAGAGCAATATGTCTTGTGAATATAGATCTAAAGTTCTTAGCAAAATTTTAGCAAATAGAATTTATGAGGAGAATTATACACAAAGACCAATGTAGTTTTATTCCAGGGATACAATGCTGGTTCAACATTTGAAAATCAACCAATGTATTCCACTTTACTAACAAATTAAAGCAAAAAGATCATGTGATCATAATTGATGCAGAAATAGTAGCTGACAAAATTTAACACCATTCATAAAAACCACTCTGAGAAAAACTAGGAATAGAGAAAAACTTCCCCAACTTATAAAATAACATCTTAAAAAAATACCTATCTACAGCTGATATCCTGCTTATAAATGGTACAATCTTTCATAATTCCATCCAATAATTAAATCCACTTTGTCAGATGTTAAGAAAGAAATCTAGAGCCAGTATTTTATTGTAGTACTCTGCACTGCGTCATAAGACCAGATTAAGTACATCTCTTCTGAATTCCATGTTCAGTGACAACTCATTAGAAGATTGAAATTAATTATGGTGGGTTTTTTTTTTTCTTGGATAGTCAGTTGTTAATTATTTTCAATCAAAGAACCACCCAAAGTTGTCTAGCACCCCTATATAATGGACTTGAAATAGAAATTTGAGTTCATAAAAATCAGATTTCAATTTCTTTTAGATCGGAATGATGAAAGAGAGACAAATCTGATGCACGATAGCTCATACAGGTTATGACGTGTAACTGAGATTCTGGGAGGTAAAACTGTAGTTTACAATCTTCCTATACTATATAACAAAGCTCTTGACCTTAGACTTTCAGGGAGAAAAACTGTTCTGCAAGTGAAAATTTATACAATGCCCAGATTATTGTAATGACCATTCTAAATGACAATCTAACTATAAGATCAGTGCTCAGATAACCTCTCTGTATTCATTCAATATTAATACAACAAATTCTTACTGGGGCTTTTTTATATGATCAAAACTGTTCTGTTTATGTTGGACAGAGAAGAAAAAAAGTAAACAAATAAATGAATTTTACAAAGCCTGTGATGAGAATAACATGGGATGATATAAAAGATTTGACAATGTTTTGTAAATGGGTAGTCAGCAAAGATATTGCAAAAGATATATCAATATTTGAATGATAAGCAAAAGATAGCCATGCTGAAAATTCATGGTAGATTTGTAAAAATAAGACATAATATAAAGATATAGTCAGAGTTTACTAATTCATATATGTAAAACTTCAGCATGACTGAGAAAACAGTCCCTTAATATTATAGTATAAAAATAGTAGAAATTGTCTTTATTAATTTTTTTCTACTCTTTAGCTTTCAAATGAAAGATTTAATGCTCCCTTATTAACACATGACAGTTACTCTAAAGGTCTTTGAATCCATATTTTTGCCTTGGTTTACATTTGTCTTTTATTTGAGAAAGCAATTTTTAATGCATTCTCAAAATTATATGACAAAGATCTTGTATTGTATGTATTATGTTCACAATATAACTTTATAACAAATGTTCTATAACCAAATTGTGGTTTATGCTCCTAGCCTTAATTATTTACAGCAGAATATAATTGTTAAAAATACATTCATTGAATTGATTCTTCCAAGTAAATTTTTCCTTTACCAATTTTCACTTACCAGTATAATCAGAACAACTAAAAACTTCAGTTTAAATAAGAAACTTCTTTTTCTACTTATGGTGGAATACATGAACCAAGGATAGTTAGAATCTTTGTGCATGTAGGCTAGACATCCATATTTGTGATGTAGGTAATAAAAATGTTTTAAAATTATTTTTAAAATCCATTGTACTTTTAACAGGGAAAGTTAGACTAAGAAATTTAGAAGTGAGGCTATCATAATTTCCATTTGGCTCTAAGTGTAAGTGACTTTTGCTACACTATCTTCTACGGAATCTTTGGAGAAACTGTTCTTGTTTGTTTATATTATTTTTTAATATTAATTCAAGATTAATTCCAAGACATATACCCCAATTTACTTGGAACCTCTACTCTCCAATTTTTTGACATTTGTAAAATTAAAGCTAAAATAAGCCTTTTTATATGCAAAGGTCCACTGAACTAGTGCTATATTTCATGTCCATACTAAAAGTTGCACAGGAACAACCATCTCTTTGAAATGCAAATACACATTGAGGATTTCCGGGTAAATGTAGTCTTCAATTCTACTAGAAAAATAACACCCAAATATGTTTCTGGCAGAGAGAGTGATCCTTTACCTTCAATACCCAGAAAAACTCACCTGATCGCAAAGAATGCTACCATTTCTAGTGCCAACTTTATCACAGTCACAGGATTTGCAAACATCTATGGCTGAAGGATCTGCACCAACTTGTCGGAAAAACAAATCCTTGCACAGCTCACAGTTCCTTCCTGCATCAGGGAAAGGTTATGCATTATGACTTCTAATTCATTAAAATCAGCTGCATAATTCAAAATTAAAGACTGTATTCCTCTGAGAGAATTCTATAATTTTCGGGACGTCCATTTTAATGCACCTTTCATCTCTACCTGCCAATTTAGTGATCCAGAGCATATGAAACAATGAACCTGTTACAAACTGTGCTTTACTTCATTAAACTCCCATCTGTTATATAATACCACACTTCTAAAAGCGGTGCTTCGTAGGGGCCCATACGTTTGAAAATAGTTTATTCTTAAACTTAAAACTTTACATCTAGGATCACGCACTTCGTCTAAATTCAATACAGTATGAGAAATTTCTACAGTGTGGTAGATGATACTCATATAATTAGAAGCCTGTAAGTATGTAGTATTGGAAGTATTTTTCTAGAACTAAATCATGTAAAATGGGAGACTTCTCTTAATATAATTTATTATTCTGTAGTTAACACAATTAAAAACAAATGATTCTGTTAGTGGCCATTAGTTTTCATTTCAAAGATCAAATAGAAATTCATTGTATTTAGATATACCAAGTACTTTTCACTTTAAATACTAAAATAGCCTGACAGATATATCAGGTAATTCCTATAGTTTATAATTTATAAGTGGAAAATTTCTCTTGCTATATTATGTAACAAAAAACCTATAGGTGTTTCTAAAGTGAACAAGAGTAGTATATAAGATAATTGAAATAAGCTGAAATAAAACTCAAGTATATCAATTCCCCCTTTAAACATGATGTAGTTTGCTCAAAAATTGTTGAAATTGGTCCAATATTAGAAGACTATAGATATAATCAAGTGAAAATTCATATTCTGATAGACATTGGCTATTGGGCTACTTAAAAATGAGATTGATTTATAACATTTCTAGACTGTTTCCACTTACATATGCTATTGACTCCCAAATCTGTATCTTCGATCTAGAGAAATCTCTCTTTTATATATCAATGAGTAAGTATTTATTGGGTAATGACCATGTATCAAATACTGTGCTAAGTGCTGTGTAATATAGTAATGAACTAAATACACAATACCCATTGCATTTCTTTCACAAAGCTCTCTTACAGTCCAGAAGGTAAGGGGAATCTTAACTAAATAATACCAGGAATAAATACACATTTTTAAACCGTGATAAGCACAGTTGTCACTAACATGTTTAAATGATTCTGATCTTTTCTGAAGTATCACGAGAGGATGCCCTTGAAGAAAAGAGCTTCACAACTTGTTTCTAACTGGCCCCAGGAGTTTCCCCTATGTCCCCCGAAACACAGAGTGAACATATCCACCACAGAACTTGCCATCTTCTGCCTCATCTCAACCCTCCTGTATTTTCTATCTCAATGGCTGTCACCAACGTTGAGCTTACTGCTCAAGCTGGAATGTAATGTCAGGTATCAGTCTTGGCTCTCCTTCCTTCCCTTGCCTATACGCTGCTCACAAAACACTCACTTTTTTGATCCTAAATGTCACTTTGATCCATTTCCCTCTATCCACACCATCTGAAACGTATTCTGACATTATTTCTCACCTGGACTATTGCAGCACCCCACTAACTGGTTTTCCCAAACCACTCTAACCCTCTCCAATCAATTTTTCACTTTATAAAGAAATGTATCTTTTAAAAACAAGTAACTGATCATGTCTCTTTCCTGATAAAACCCTTAAGTGTCATCTTATTGACCTTAAATAGAAGCCAAATGCTTTATCAGGGCTCCAGAGCCCTCTATGATCTTGCCTTGTCTTCCTTCCTAATTTCTCTTCTTGCCACCAGCCATTTGCCCATCTTTCATTTTTTCAAAGGTGGCATGTTCCTCTCTCTCCTAGGCCACTGCACAAAATGTTTTCCTAATTGTAAGCCTTAGTTCACCAACCTAATGCTCCTCCCTCTCACACCTTCAACTGGTGAATTCCTACTGTACTTGCCCTGTCTTAGCAATCATCAGACAACTTTGTAATTGTTCCTTTCAATGGTATGTCTTTCCCACTATACAATAACCCAAAGACAGAAAAAATCATTGTCTTATGCATCTTCATGTCCCAGCACCTACCCAAGATCTTGTGATATTAAAGTTATTGATAATCATTTAATAAATGCATGCTTAGGAGTATCACTTTGAAACCCATCAGATATGTGCTATTCAGGTGTTGGCCATTTCTATTTTTAATAAACTTGCCCTTCAAAAGGATGATAATTTTCAATGACTAGTCGAATGCTTGTAGTTTTAGAACAGGACTTTGATTATCATCATCTTCATTTAATTAGCAATTCTAAAAAGAGTATTATCAGATTACCAGTGTCCATGCCAAATCTGAATGAATATAATCTCCACGAGAATCCAGACATAAAGGACAATAAAGGGGACACAGGGAAACTTATCTTAAGGATATATGTTCAAACTTAGCATTCCTGAGTTATTCTAAATACGTCTGTGGTTTAGTCAAATGGTGTAAATCCTTAAAAAATTTTTTTTTTCTGAAAAGATACAGTTTAAGACTAGAGTGTCACTTGTGAAAACTATCTAGTGACTTGGAAATAGGAAGATTTGGTGAATCAGCTTTGGTTTTCAAACTTAACAGTATGAAAACACATTCTTAAATAAGATAGCAATAACATAATTCAAAATAATTTGCATTGTAAATAGAAGCACACAGATCTCCAAGACCAAGTCAGCAATTTATTTGCTACTTACCTGTAGTATTATGCTCACAATCATCACAAACTCCTCCTCCCCCTCTAAAGTGCTCAAAAGGAAATGGGTCCACAGAGACGTTGTAATGGCAGCTTTTGGAATGTCTGTTGCATTGACAAGGTTTACAATTGAAAGCGTGAACTTGATCACCTTGGCGGAAGGGCTTGTCATTATAAAGAGGCAAGCAGTGATCACACTAGAACAAAAAGTATCAGAACAATGAAGATAAAGCTGTGATTTTCTTTCATATTATTGATATGCTAGGAACTGTCACGAGATGTAAAGCACATATGAGTGAGTTTAAAGTCAGCAATGATTATATTTGAAAAATATTTTGTAAGTCAGAAATAGCATATTTATGGGCACGGTAGGGTGGAATTGTAAAAGTGACCATGCAAGCTTGAGCCATGCAAAATGATCTTTTTTTTCCTTAATTTTTGTGGGTACATAGTGGGTTTATGTATTTATGGGCTACGTGGAATGTTTTGATAAAGCCATACAATGTGTAATAATCACATCTTGGAAAATAAGATATCTATCCTCCCAATCATGTATCCTCTGTGTTCCAAACATGCAAAGTGATCTGAATAATAAACAGGAAAGGTGATGATAGTTCTAAGACTTTTAAAACTTCAAAAACGTCAAAAACTCCCCACTGCCGATTATAAATGTAAAGAAATGAACCAGTAAAAACAAACACGTATTTAGTACTCTGTAATCTAAAACATTACAAACTTGGAGAAGTTGTTTTACTCCTTTGTAAAATACTCACTAAAAGTACTTTGAACAGCGCGTGCCCTCATCTCACCTATAACTTACCAGGCTGAACACCGCATCTTTTCTATGCCTTGGTGAATTGCCATGCTCCTTTCTAAGTTTGAATCAGCTTCCAACATTTTGACTTTCGTACTTTTAGTGTTGTAAAGTACCTGTGAGAATTTCTCTAATGTGAAGTGTTTGCGGTGTCACTTCCTCAAGGACATCTTCACCCTATTCGTGGCAAGCCCTTTCCTCATTTTTGTTAAGTTCACCTTCACTAAGTAGCTCCGGCTGCATATCCAGAATCTCTCAAACAGCAGTAGTGACTATTTCTTCTATGACTCCACTTAGGTTCAATTGGAATTTTTCTTCAAGTATTTTCTTTCTTTGCAGTGCTTTCATCTTTGCTACCTAATTCCTCTTCTTTTTTGAATATCTGTGTTTGTAAAGTGTCACTTGGGTTTATCACTCATAAGGGGGCAATACAACCACATGCTTCTCTGTCTATGAATAAACTGAATAATAAATGTGTAGTGTGCAATCACCAACATATTTTGAAAAAGGAAACATGATTGGTCACTGACCACAATGTGCATCTGTTATTTTATGTGGTAATTTGTGGACTGCAGAGCCAGCAGCAATGTTTATGTAATTAGTCACAGTAATATTCCATGTTACCTGACACTTGAACTATGTTGTTGGAGGACTGGCAGCATTTAACTAAACTATGGTAACTGATATTCATGCCTATCAGAATTGCATAAGGAGATGACTGCCTATATAACTGTAAGAAAAAATTTACTCAAATTACATAATAGGTCTATTATGTACTGAAACAAATCAACAAAACCTGGATATATGTTTTATAATTATTTTAACCTCCTAATAGAATTTGTGGTCAAAGCAAAATTTTTTCTGTAGATTTAAATAACAATTCACCTGAACTGAGTTTAGTACAACTATAGGCATAACAAAAAGTATTATTTATAAAATAAAGGCAGGGAAACTTAAAAGGAAACTTAAAAGCATTGATAATTTGGCTAGCAAATGATAAGTCAAAATGTCAACATGAGACAATTTCTTTCAAATTTGCATATATATATATTTTCTTTCCAAAATGAATATACATGTGTATTGTTATTAAACATCATGTATTTTGCGTTACTAGTTTTGTATTATTAAACATTATTTTTCTGCATTATTTCCTATATTTTTCATAAAATAACATTCAGTCATTCTGCAATTATTACACGTTTAGTTTTTTTTCAGTTTTATTTTGGGAATGAAGGTGGATACAGCTAAGTATTACCTTAAGAAAATTATGAGATGAAATTACATTATCAAAGAATGTAGAAGTTTTAAATATTTTGTTAAATATGATCAAATTCCTTCTAGAAAAATTAAACTCATAGTCACACCAGCAATATCTGAAAATGTCCATTTTCTTGTGTTTTGCCAATATTAGAACTCTTGTTATATCTTCATTATTTTGATTTTAGAAAATATGTCAATTACTGCTTTAGTATGTATGTCTTTGGTTACTAGTAAAGCCAATAAAACTTCACCTAGTTCTTCTTTAGATATAGTACTTTATGAGAAAACTGTTCATTTTTCTTTAACATATTATTTTTAAATTGATTTTCAATATTTTATCAGATATTAGAATTTTCCTTTTCCTGTAAAACAGTGAATATTTAGTTCATAATTTTAAATATACATTTATATTTATTTTCTTCCCCAACTTTACTGGCCAGAATTTTCAGCATAATAGTTAATTGATATAGTATAGTAGTAGTGATAGGTATAATTATCTTTTTTCTCATTTTAATGAAAATGTCTGTAATGTTACAGCTTTTACAGTATTGGCTATTGATTTTATATAGACAATTTTTATCATTTTAAAGAAGAAATTGCTTCTTCAAAACAACCAATATGGACTTATGTTAAAAAATAAAAAAATACATTTTCAATTTTATTAAATATTCTGATTTAATTGTTTGACCTATTGCATTGATAAATTATATAACAGCTTAGCAGGCTAATTGGAGTCAGTGCCTGCATTTTTGAATAAACCCAACATCATTAATAGTAAATAATGTCAAGTAAAAGAAATGTAGGAGTTTTACATTTGTAATATAAATGAGATTTCTCCAGGTTTTTATAAAGGCTTTTATTAAAATAAACCTTAGAATTGTAATAGGTAATTATATGTATTTGTATTTATAAAGTTAATTTTAATATCTGAATGATCAGAAAATTCTCATTTTGCACATACACTAAAACCTATTACATTTTGTCAAATTATATTTCATGTAAAGAACAATCAATTCAAGATAAGAGTTAAAATAAGTAAATACCAAGATTTCTGAAAATCATTTTTCTCACACTCCATTTGCTGTGAAATACTTAATGTGACTTCCCTAAGTGCCCAGCGTATGCCAGAGTTATGTGTTGAATTACGAATCAGGGAAGTCAAACCATGTAAAGTAATGTCTCCCTGTCTATCCATAATCATGGTCCTTTCCTCTTTGTTTTATATTAACATTGTTAAAAACTATCTTCACATTGAGATAACAAAAGTTATTCCATTGTTCTATTTTAATATAGAATAAATTGTGATAAATATTGAGTATTTTAGAACAGTTTGACATATTTCATAATCATTACTGGAACACACTCTAGTCGAAAGCATGTTTTTGCCAGTATTTACTTTTCCCCACTAGTTCAATTCCTTCCTTTAACAATCTTAAAGGGAGAAGATATAAAATCAGAATTTAGTTGCCCAGTGTGTTGCTGTTTAATGGTATTCAAAAATTTTAGTATAAAAACAAAGTGCGTTTTTTCAGTTTCGCTCGGTAGAAAAAGACAAAAAGGAGAAAAAATAATAAGAATGTAAATATTAGGCCACAATGTTTATATCAGGTAGCACTACATTTTAAACATTGGCTAAAAAAAAAAAAATCACCCCTTTGGTCATTTTACAATGGTCAAGTTAAACCCAATGGTCAATTAAATTATCACTGTAATATTCTTTTTGGAGTGATGAAGTTTCTTTTTTCCCACAGTCATTTCTAACCATTTAGGTTAAGATAGTTTTCCCTTTTCTCATCTCTCAGAGTCCTATATTAATACCTCAGTCTTGCTCCTGACACTCCCCTTAAATTATTGGCTTGCGTATGGGTATCTTCCAGAAAACCCAAGTTACTGACTTTATATTCTCTGTGTCATCCATGCATTAGGAGCAATGATAGACAATTGCTAAGCTGTTAACTGACAATTCACAATTGACAATGATATTGATGTCCAGAGAAAGCTGTTCTTGAGGGAATTTAGAGAGGAACTGTTCACAATGAAAACAGCTCACAAACAAGGTGACATTTATGTAAAGTCTTCAGAATTGACTGTTATGAGATGATTTGCAATAAAAACCCCTTACAAATATAAAATGAAATTCACCTCATAAAAGAGTATGTAGCAACCATTAAAATATTGTCAACTATGGGTCTTTAGCCAAAAAAATTTAAAGTGGGGAAATCGACCTCTTTATGTTTCCCTCACCAGCAATACCCATATGCAAATCAAATTTATTTCATAAAATCAAAAGTTAGAGATTTATAGGCTGAGAGTCAAACAGCCTAGCTCAATTATTGGTGCTGCTGTTTACTAACTGCAAAAAGGCCACCGTGAAAAGTAACATCAAATGCATACTCTCATTTTATGAATATACTCTCATGAGCGTATACTCTGGCCACTATATTAAGCATTTTAAATGGGTTGTTTTTAAATCCTCTAGGCCTGAGTGAAACAGTATCCCACATCTAATTTCTGTTTCTTGACTTGCTAGCCCTGTGTTCTAGTGCAACTGTCTGTACCTCTCTAATCCTTATTTTTCTCACTTGTAACATGGGAGTAATAACACTTCTCTCATAAGGTTGCTGTAAAGACCAATCAATTATCAAAGCAGTTGTCACACAGTTGGCCCTCAGCAAACTTGCCTATGACTTTGATTGTTATTGGATTCACAACGGAGGATTAAAGAGGTTAAGTAACATGAGCAATGACAATGGACAGTTAGTCCTAGAGTCCTCTTTACGTCTATGAATCTGTTTCTTCATCTCCAAAATGAAGATAAGTTAATGGAATGTCTTACCTGTATTTGACTCAAAATAATCTTAGGATAAGTGGTAATATACAAATAATGCTCAAAACAAAGCTTGGAAAATACTACATGCTCAAACCTGAAATTCAGAAGATGGAGGAGGAGAAAAACAAGGAAGAGAGGGGTAAAAATCCAACAGAGTTGTTGATCTCAAGTTTGACTAACACCGGCAGTATATGACTATCACTATGCTATATACAGTCTAAAACCATTAAGAGGCGATTCTGTGGTCATAAATGCATTGGTCTATGATCTGCTTTGGAGGAGGTAGCCTACAG